GAAATTGCAAACTTCTCCAGTATCTTTGCCAAGAAAAGACCAAATAGGGTCACAAAGAGTCAGTCATGCCTGAAGCACAGCAACGAGCACTTTGCTCATTTCTTCCTCTTAGTAGAAAATGCTAACTGATTCTCAGACATTTCTCTCTCAAGGGAGAGAAAGGGGAAACTCTCAAAAATCACCAAAAGATGGGCAGGTAGTATTTAGTCTCCCTAATTAAGACCCAGCATCAAGGGGAGGTGCTGTGCCTAGTTTTTCAGTCATGTCTAATTCTTCATGACCCCATTTGAGATTTTCTTGGCAAAGATATGGGAGTGATTTGCCATTTCTTTCTCCAGCTCATTTTACGAATGAGGAAACTAGAGTTCAGTGACTTGCCCAGGATCACACAGCTAGTAAGTGTCTGAGGCCAGATTTGAACTCGGGAAGATGAATTTTCCTAACTCCAGGCTTGGTGCTCTGTGCACTATGACGACATCTAGTTTCCCTCTCCGCCTGGTTAATTCTCAAGAAACATCATTTCTATTACATTTTTTCTGGGGTCTTCCTGTACAAAATGTTGAGATACCAGTTGTAAGGATTTATACGGGGAAAAGCAGTGGAAACTAACCTAGCGTTTATTCCACTCCTGGTCTGTACAGAAGGGAAGGCAGCAGGGCATCGCTGATAGAAAGCTGGCCTCAGAGTCTAGAACACCTGGCTTCAAGCTCTGTTTGGACGTACACTGACCCTGGACAGCTCCTCTCTACTCCCAGGCACCTCTCTAAGGCTATATGTTGCAGATTTGTTGCTGTGCATTGGTATAAAGTATTTCTTCATTGAGAGTTCCCTATACTGATGAAATCAGAGTCCTGGGTTAAAAAAAAATAAAGTAGTAGGCACTGTGCCCTGAAGGTATTGAGAATACAAGGATGAAAACAAAACAGTCCCTGCCCTCAGGGAGCTTACATTCTACTAGAAGGGTTGAAAGAAAAGGGAAACCAGATTTTGTGTATAGAAATACAATGTGCATGTGTCTTGGTGATTACCTTGCATTGATATAGTAAATAACATATGCGTGTATGTGCATATGTGAATATATGTATAAATGCATATATTTGTACACCATCTCCTTGATAGATTATGGACTTGCTTGGGGGCAAGGATTGTTCATCTTTGCATCCCAGCTGCCAGCACAGTGCCTGGCACATGGGACTTAATAAATGTTTGTTGATTTCCTGATAGATGATGCTTAATTTTCCACCTGAGTCCAAGCCCTCATCACTTTGTACCTCTTTCTGGTTTATCTAACCTAGGCATCATTGACAGGATACTTCTGTAATCCACCAGTTAGTTCTCGTTTCCTCTCTATGGGTGCTATCTCCACTGATGCAGACAGTTATCCCTGCATGCCTTAGTAGGTAATAACAAATTACTGACATTTATTTAGTGTTTGAACATTCACAAAGCACTTTGCATGTATGATGCAGTGGCTGACAGCAGTGACCTTGGATTCAGGAAGACCTGGGGCTGAGTCTTGCCTCAGATTCTTACTAGTTTTGTGACCCTGGGCAAATCACTAAACTTATTTCTGCCTCAGTTTCTTCACTTGTAAATAATTATATTAGCTGATAATAGTAATACTTGTCTTCTGGGGTTGCTATAAAGATAAAATGAGATGCCTTATCATAGGACTTTGTAAACCCTAAAGTGCTATGTTATTTTATATGAGGCTCATAATAACTCAGTGAGGCAGATATTATTGATATTATCCCTATTTTCCAGATGAGGACTGAAGTTTCCTGTTCTGCCCATGGTCACACAGGTAGTTATTGTTGGAGTTCGGATATGATCCTGGGTCTCTCCTGACTCCAGGTCCGAGCATTTTCCCATAATACTCTCTAGCTTCTCGGGTTCTTATGGTCAAGAAAGTTTGTCATCTGGTGACCAACCCTTCCTAATGTAGGCTTACCCTTGGACAGTGGGTGTCCAGTCTGTTGCTGAAACTTCAGGTCTTTCCACCTTTATTTCTTCCTTCTGTAGGAAATCTTTCCTGGTCCCCCCGGCCACTAGTGCCATCCCCTTTCAGATTGCCTTCCATCTGTACTGTATATATCTCATATGTACCTGACATGTCCTCCTTGTCACACAATGTATGCTCCTGTAGGGCAGGAAGTGTGTGTGTCTTTGGGGCCTTTCTTTGTATTTCCAGCCCTTAGCCCAGTGTCTGACACGGAACAAGCACTTAATAAATGCTTATTGACTGCTTGGTAAGACTTGTGCACTGCCGATGTAGCTTTCTAGAATCTACTATGAGGCATCCCAGCTGGGCTCTCCTGGAGGACCACGTTATTCTTCCTAAAGTATTACCTTCATCATGTCACTTCCCTGCTCTGAACCCTCCTATGGCTCCCCATTGCCTGCAGGCTGAAGGTCAAGCTTCTCACCCTGATAATCAAGACCCTCTATAGTCTGACTTTTACTCTACTTGTCCAGCCTTATTTCCCATGACTCCTCTTCATCTGCCCTCAGCTCTACTTAGGCTAATTCAATAAGCATTTATTAAACATAAAGCACGACACGTTCTTTTCTGACTACATGCCCTTCCTCGTGCTGTTACCTTTCCCCTAGAAGGTCCTTCCCATTCTTCTCCACTTACCTAAAAGCTTATTCTTTGGGCCAAGCTCAAGTTTCCTTCCCAACATGAAGCCATCCTTGACCATTCTGGCCCAAATAGAGGAAACATGGCTGAAGTGGAAAAAAAAAACTGAACTTGTAATTTGAGGGAAGGAAAAAGAAGAGAAGGGAACACACATTTATATAGTGCCTACTGTATGCCAGGAATTGTGCTAAGTGTTTTTTTCCCCCAATATCATTTCATTTGATCCTCACAGTAACCCTGCAAAGTAGGTGCTTTTACTATCCTCATTTTATATGTAAGGAAATAGGCTGAAGAATATAAAGTGACTCGCCCAATGTCACACAGCTAGTTAGTATCTGAGGATAAATTTGAACTCAGATCTTCCTGAATCCAGGCCCAGGACTCTATTTACTGTGTCACCAGCTGTCTCGAATTGGAGGATGTCGGTTCAAATCCTGGCCCTCCTACTTACTACCTGTGTCACCCCGGGCAAGTCCCTTGACTTCCTAAGGCCTCACTTTTGTATTATGTAACACACTGGTATGTGTAGGGGTTGAACTATAAATGATCTCTCAGGTTCTTTCCAGCCCTAAATCTAATATCTAATATTCAGCCCTTAGTACGGTACTAGCATCCTTGAGAGTAGAGGCTCTGTCTTCTATTTCTTTGTACATCCCTCACTATCTTTCAGAGGACCTTGCACATGGCAGACCATTGTCTCTAGTAGAATGTAAGCTCTTTGAGGGCAGGGAGCATGTTATTGTTCTATTTGTAGCCCCAGCTGCCAGTACAGTTCCAGCCACATAGTAGGTGTTCAATAAAATGCTTGTTGAATTGAATGATAAATGCTCAATAACCATGCTTGCTTCCTGGGATGCCTAGTAGAAACTCTATGAATTAATTTTTAAGAGTCAGTGAATAAGTATTTATTAAGCACCTACTATGTACTGGGCACTGTGTTAAGTGCTGAGGATATAGTGATGGATTAGTTCTAGTCTATGCATACTCCTTTGTATGATAAGGAGATAGATGATCTCAAAGGACCCGTCCAAGCTCTAATATTCTATAGTTCCTGTACACTTTCTTTCTCTCCTGATGCTTCTTCTAATCAAGGGTACAAAGACAATCTAAGATGATGGCTGCCCTGCAGAGGAATCTGGCCTATGACCTTGGTCTCTTTTGAACCAAGCCCTATCCAACTGAGTTAAGAAGTCTAGACCCGCCCAATGTGGAAATATGGTTTGTGTGATTTCATGTGTATAATGGGTATCATATTTCTTGTCTGCTCAATGGGTGGGGGAGGGAAAGGTGGGAGGGAGAGAATTCAAAACTGAAAAAACAAGCAAACAAACCTATATTAGGTAATAGGTCTCTTCGTTTCTAGTCCAGTCTCCTATCCGATATGCCTTATTCTTTTTCAATTCCATGTGCAAACACTGCAAATTAAAATTGTTGATTTAAAAATGGTTTATTCTCTGTGATTCAAAACAAAGTATTTTTGGAAGTCTTATTAATTTTAGAAACTTACACAGTCAACAAGCACTTATTAATCAATTCCTATGTGCCAGTCACTGTGCTAATCACTAGAATTACAAAAGAAAGACAAAAAAGTCCCTGCCCTCAAGTAACCTTTCTACATTCTAATATTCTGATATTCATGTTACTATATATATGCAAGATGTATATGGTGTAAAGGGAAAGCCATCTTCAACATGCCTTTGCATGATCCATCTCAAAACAAAGATGGTTCTGTGACATTAAATAACTTTGACTTTGGTATTACTGGTTTTGGGGTAATAAACAACTTCTGAATAAGAAAAAAAAATTCAAGCTAGGTTTATTTTAATTTGTAAGACTTTCAATTATGACTATGAAACTAAATTTTAGAGGTATTAAAATAAGACACCTTTTAAAACTTGCTGTTTTAAAATTAAGAAAACTTTGGCAGAGCTTGTTTGGGATGAATATAAATTGAAATGACGAATGCAAGTCAACATGAGTCTCCTAACAGAAAGCATGATGTTGTTACATAGAACAAAGGAGAGCTTTGGGAAAGCATCATCGTGATGGGTTTATTTTCCTTGAAGCTTGAGTTTGCTTCCATGACCTGACGTGGGGCCAGATGACACGTTTCTTTAACAGTTCAGTTTCCACAGGTCCCTGGATCCAAGTTGTCTTTCAGTTCCTGGTGCCATTGGTTGCCAGGCCAGTGTGTTGTGGCACCAAGATTCCTAGGAGCCGTTATATGCCTGAACCAGTTGTCTTTTAATTCTTGGCACCTTTGGCTGCCAATCCAGTGTCTTGTTGGACGTTGAGATGTCTAGTAGGTGTCATGTGCCTTGTTGAGTAGGGGCTAAATATATCCTCATCTTCTTTGCAGTTGAAAGATGCATGAGCGTGATGCAGTCTGGGACCCAGATGATCAAGCTGAAGCGTGGGAGCAAAGGCCTCGTGCGGCTCTTTTACCTGGATGAGCGCCGCGCCCGGCTGCGTTGGCGGCCCTCCCGGAAAAGCGAGAAGGCAAAAAGTAACGTGGCCTTTTCAGTTCATCTCCTACCTGGGGACAGCAGTAGTTTAGTGATTCCTCAGTTTTTTGGGGGCTATGGACCTCTTTGGCAGCCTAGTAAAGGCTATTGACTTTTGCAGGGTTTTAAAGACATAAAGTCAAATGCCCAGCATCACCCAGGAAACCAATTGTATTGGAAATAACATTTATCAAAATGTAGTGAAAAGCCCATGTCCGCAGACCCACAGGTCAAGACTCTCTAGAACAAAGAAATCATGCTAGATGATATTTTTCCCAACTTCAGATCTTACTGATGGGAGTGGGCAGAAAGAATTGGTCACTACCCTTGGCAGACAAGAGGTTGATTTTTAAAAATGCCCCATAAACATCGCAGGAATGCCCGAAGTGTGAATTTTGTTAGTTTTCTTTTGTTGTTGTTATCCAGCAAACATTTTTGATGTTAAGATGCATGATATGTGACCTTTGGATTTATGGAAAAATTGACCAGTGGAAAATAATAGGTTATTCGATTGCCCCCTTTGGCTCTGGGATAGGTAGGCTGGTAATAAGAAGAAAGAACAATAATGATAAGTGTATGGGTGGAGAAATTAGGAGAAACATGTGCACACAAACCTAATTGATTCGGCAAAAAAAAAACAAAACAAAACAGAATGTGAAATTGGAAATTTGCTGAATGATGCCGCAGAGTTTGATGGAAGAGAAATAATGTTGTCGGGGCTGTGGTTTTTGTTTGTTTTGTTTTTAGGTCATGCCTCAAATTACTTTCCAGACTGACAGAAAAGTCCAGAATCAAGCTTTTTGTTTTATAGTTTGCCCTTTTCTAGTTTCTGCAGTACCACAGTGATCACCTAAAAGGCCCTAGGGACTTGATTAATAGAGAGCAGGAGTTCTTAACCTGGTATCCACGGTCTGCCAAAGAATCTGTGGATACATTTCAGGAGGTCTGTGAACTTAGATGAGGAAAAAATAGATCTTTATCCTTATTGACTTCCAACTGAAATTTAGTACTTTCTTCACTTATGAATGTGAATAACAAAACGTTCTCTGAGAAGAGGTCATAGGCTTCCGGAGGCTGACAGAGGGGTCTGTGACCCCCAGAAAGGTTAAGAACCCCTGAGAAACTAGCAATTAAGAACTGGCCTAAATACAATATTTCATTGAGAAAATTCCTTCTAAATTGCTACCTGCACTTCTATATACCTCAGATTTTCATGGAGAAACTCTTTCTGAAAGCTGAGTCTTAAGCGGCTCTCCTCAGTTTTTCGGTTAGCTTTAGTCTTCTGAGTTGAGGCAAGGTGTGTAGTAGATAATGTACAGGGTCAGGAGAAAGTCCTGGGTTCAGATCCTACCTTGAACATTTCTCAGTTCTAGTGTGCCTCTGGGCAGCCTCTGACTTAACTTCTTGGAGTCTTAGGCAGCTCCCTTGGACTTATCTACCAAATCATAGATGAGTTTTGATGGGGAAAGTCCCAATGAATGCTCCCCTGCCTCAGACACTTACTAGATGGGTGATGCTGGACAAGTCACCTTACCTCTCTGGGTCTCAGTTTCCCCATCTGTAACATGAAGGGCTTTGCCTCAGTGGGCTCTGATGTCACTTCCACTTCTAAATCTCTGCTCCTATGATGACCAAAGGTCACATGTATAAGGGGATGAGAGAATTTGTGTGCTTCCCATGCTTTTGCCTTTTGTGAGCCCACCGAGTTTAATTTTGATCACCTATAAACTCAGGGAATAATCGATCAGATTATGTTTCTGCTGTAAGCATGAATTCAATAGACATTTTTTGCACTCCTACTGTGTGAAGGGACTGTTTAATGCTCCCACACAATGGTGGCTTGCTGTTCCTGGGAGGAATTCTCTGGGCATCACAGAAGGAACCCCAGAAGTCATGGAGCCCAACTCCCTCATTTAGAGACGAGGAAACTGAGGCCCAGACGCATTCACGAAGATAGTTGGTGTCACCTGCTGGCTTCCAACCAGCTCATCTGACTCCAAAGTCCATGCACTTGTCATTTAACAGTCTTAGTCATAGAAACCAAATTAGAAGCTCTTTGAAAGCAGTGACTGAACCTCAGCGCTAACCTAGCACACAGCTGTATACACAGAAGGAGCTTCATAAATGCATGCTGGGTGAATGAACTCTCCCAAAACTGGAAGGGCAGGCTGTAGAAGGCCAACGTCTCCTCTTGGTTTGATTCCTCCTTCCCCCTTCGAATATCCTACAGGTAGCTAGTGTATTTGCTGTAGCAGCCTGAGGTTGCAGATAGAGAATTGGCCTTGAAATTAGGGAGAATAACAGCAAGATCGTTCGATGATGAATTGTGAGTGACTTAGCTCTTCTCAGCAATACAGTGATCCAAGACAATCCCAAAGGACTCATGATGAAGCACGCTATCTGCCTCTAGAGAAAGAACTGACATTGACTGAAGACAGACTGAATCATGCTATTTTTCACCTTTTTTCATTCATTCAAATCTTCTTGTGCAAAAATGACCAAAATGGAAATGTTTTACATTAAAAAAAATTTAGGAAGACCTGGGTTCTGGTCCTGTCTCTGACCTACGTTTACTGTGCACAAGTCACTTACTTTCTCAGGGCCTCCCTTAACTCTAAAACTGTAAGCTGCAGAGAAGGCACTGCCCTGCATTGGCAGAGGGAGGTCCCTATGCCAGTGAAAGCACAAGTACAGTGTCTATTCCATGTGGTATGCTTACGGTATTTCCCAATTGCCTTTTTACTGACTTGATTTCCCCTGGTGGTAGTGAGGCCTTGTGTGGTTTACGAGGAGTGTTCTACTGCCCAGCTTTGGTTTGCAATGAATGGGGCCTCTCTCAGGCGTGCCTTAGAGTACCTGCTTCTCCTGGGAGGCCTCTCTTAGGACGGGGCAGTGCTGGCATTTTATTTGCTCCCGTCTGGCTCTGGCCCAGATACAGTGGCCCTTCCCATGCTCCTTGATCTCTACATGTATCCTCACTAGTGCTTTGTCTCTGAATCCTCTTTCCTTCGCAGTAATTATCGATTCGATTTACAAAGTCACCGAGGGCCGGCAATCCGAGATCTTCCACCGACAGGCTGAAGGGAACTTTGACCCGAGCTGCTGTTTCACCATCTACCATGGAAACCACATGGAGTCACTGGATCTCATCACTTCCAACCCCGAGGAGGCGAGGACGTGGATCACTGGCTTGAAGTACCTGATGGCTGGAATCAGTGATGAAGACTCTCTTGCCAAACGAAGGAGAACCCACGACCAATATCCTTTGCTGAGATCTCAGCTCCTGATGTGTGTGTGTGTGTGTGGGGCGGGGGGAGGTGGCACAGTGGAGTGATAAAGACTTGGGTTTGAGTCCTTCCCTGGGACCCTGGGCAAGTCAACCTCTCAGTGCTCTAGGCCAGTGCTGTGGATCTCAAATAGAAAAGCATCCCTGCAGCTGCTTATTGACCTAGAAAACCACAAATTAACATTATCTATGTTGTACTGTATATTTATTTTATTAAACATTTCCTCTGGTTCTGGCCAAATTCTAGGCAACTCTCCAAGACTCTCTTATAGAGCAGAGACCAACCTTTTTTTTTAATTGATTATTTTTAGGGGGAGGGGGAAATATTTTATAATTTATATATAAAATCTCAGTAAGAAGCCATGTAAAATGACAGGACTATCCATTTTACATAACAATGAAATATTAATTAAATAAATTATATATAAAACAGTATAATCATACATTATAATTATATATTATAATAAATATATTCACATAGTTTAATGAATATATAATTATATAATATATAATCATAATAAAATAAAAATAAATAAATAAGTGAATGAATGAATGAATGAATGAATAAATAAATAAATGTGAATTTCAACCTTCTTTGGTAAAAGAGATTTTCTCACCTTGGTCTTTCCATAGCAATGAAATTACAGGTCTAGTCCCCACCCCCATCTTTAAAACTTTGGTTCTAATGTGCATCCATTACTTTGTGAAGACTTGACCCACCTTGTTTTCTTAGTTTTGAGGCTCAAAATGGACCTTCCCTCTCTCTACTGTCATGTCTCTATGTCCCCCTTGGCCCTTGGCACCATCAACATAGAAGCTGTGGAGGCTTCAGGCTGCCTGGGCTCTGACAAACTCCTTCCTTCACCCATGAATGTTGGTTTCAGGGGAGCCAGAGTTTAGCTCACCTTCCTTCCACGCCGCCCTCTTGGCCAAGAGTGAGGAACCTCTCGTAGATGTTTTTGTCTTCAGAAGAAGCTTTCAATCATCTCCTTCTAAAGCAGTGCACTGACCTCCAGAAACTCTTTTTTTCCCCTTTCTTTGACTAGTTTCTTCCCTTGGCTATGGAATGAACCCTGGACAGAGTGACAGTACAGGGGATGTCAGATTGTCGTGGGTTTGATAACAATACTAGTTATTCAGAAGTGATTTTAAGATGTTCAAGGCCCTTTCCATAGCACCTTAGATCTAGAGCTGTGCCCTTAGAGCTCATTTAGCACAACCTCCTCATTTTACGGATGAGGAAACTGAGGTCCGGGAAGTGAAGCAATTTGCCCAATTGCTTACAGGTAGCAAATGGCTGAGATTGTAGGATTCTAGAACTGAAAGGAACCTCAGGACTAGTCCTCATTTTGGAGGTAAGCAAACTGAACCCAGAAGGTTTAAGGACTTGCTTGTGATTGCACAGTTAAATTACGGAGGCCAGCTTCAAATCTAGGTCTGCTCAAATCTAAGGCCCACCTTCTGTTGCTGATAGATATATAAGATTGGACTTAGTGATGAAGCTACTCAGAGCTGTAGCAAAAGCCCTGGACTTTTGTCAGGAGATCTGGGTGGGAATCCTGCCTCTGACACTTCCCAGCTCCTTGACCATGGGCAAGTCAGTCGGCCTCAGTTTCATCAGCTAGAGCATAGACTTCTCAGCTCACGAGACTCTTGGGTGGAAATTGCCTTGTAAACTCCAAAGCGCTAAGTAAATGTGAGTCGGTCATTAATGAGACCCCCCTTGCTCCATTAGAAAAGCTCAGCTTGTATCTGTGTCCTTAAATGGAGGGGATTCTTGTGGTTCTGTAGGCCTGTGACCCGCATAATCTACTAGCAGGGTTTGGAAGGCTCCTTTCCTTTGGGGATTAAAAACTAATGATACAAAGTAGCTAAAAAACACTGCCGTAGGCTGCCCTTCACTTAGGTGGACCTGTGCTCTTGCTGTCAGTAGGGTGTGTGTGTGAGTGTGTGTGTGTGTGTGTGTGTGTGTGTGTGTGTGTGTGCTGAGATACTTGTTGGGTAGGAAATGTGATGGATTTATATTGACCCATTTGAATGAAGAAGCATTTTTAGGATATTCAGCTGGGCACAGGGGTGCAGTGAACCCACTCTCACATGCAGATGTCGATGCATACATACATATATACATACATACTTTGTATCTTTTTTGTAACTATCTCAAATTTAGATACTCATCAGCAACAATAACAATTGCTAACATCCATTTGATGCTTAAAGGTTTGCATCGTGCTTTACATATATTATCTAAATTAAACCTGCCGTATCTAAGACACTATGCCAAGCATACAACAGGAGAAATGCAACAGTCCCTGACCTGAAGGAGATTACATTCTACCAGGGAAGACAACATATCTGTTTGTGTTTGTATTTGCCTGCGTGGCAGGTGCATGGAGGGTACTTAATACGTGCTAATTGGTTGCTTTGAAACGTAGCAACAAATGCTTCCCTGCCTCCTTAGAAGCCAACTGCCCCCCCCCCCCCCAATCCCGCGGCCGATAAAATGGCATCTTTTCTGGGGCAAATCCCTTGCACTTCTTCCAGGATTCGACCCATGCATTATATAGGTTGTTTTGTTTTTGCTTTTGCTTTTGCTTTCTGCCTCTTACCCCCTGCAGCTTTGAAGTTTTATTTCAGGGAAATGTTTCCTCACCTTGGATGGCTAGGGAGGAAGACATCCCAAGTTATCAGGGCATTTCCTGACACATTAACTCACTATCCTTGAAGTGGCTACACATCACACGTACCTCCATTTATTATATTCATGAACAGTTTTTAGAAGCTGCTCAAATTTGTTTGTGTCTCTCTTCTGGGGAATGGCAGCTTGCCATGTTTATATTAACAAGGTTGGCAGATTAGGAGCTGCAGCATAAAATAACTCTGAAAAAAAATACCGGCTAGAAAGACACCATAGCCCCACTAGTCACCGAGAGATAATCTCGCTTGAAATTTGATAGTTGCCTGTGCTATCAGAGGAGAGAGGAGATAGGTAAAGGAATTAGTTCGAATAACCTAGACAGGGAAAGCAAAGATCTGCTGAAGTCATGGTCTGGTAAAAAAGGGAATCCTTCTGATAACATATAGATCTGCGGAGTTTAGCATAGGCCATCGTGACTCTATGAAATCCTTGACTGGACATACAGATAATTACATTAACTGAAGAGAATATAGGTTCTTTCGTTATTTATGGATTTCACTTAAGACTAAGAATTTCAATGATGAATAGATGTTGAACATAGATAATAAATCTTACATGGTAAAAAAAAAAAGTCTCTTTAGTTTAAAATGTAATACAGCGCCTCCATGTAAGCACAGACATGTTGGACACTATATCCTTTGCTGAAGAAAAAAAATGAATAATAGGAATAAATTCCTTGGTCTGGCATTTCAAAGCTCTATACATTCTGACTCCTACCTACTTTCTCAACCTTATTTCACTCTACCCATTTTAAAATACTCTATGTTCCAGCTAATCTGACTACTAATTATCCTCTGATCTCAGCCTGTCTATTACTTGTGTGAGTCATGTGGACTGTCCCTCACTCTTGGAGTGCGGTCTCCCCAATCTCTCTACTTACTGATATCCTTCTCTCCTCCAAGCTCTGCCTCAGAGGCCACCTATTTCATGAAGCCTTGTTTTCTTGATGAGCCCAGATGAAAGTTATTTTCCCCAGTGACAGCTAGGTGGTGCCAGAGTGCATAAAGTACTGAACCTGGAGTCAGGAAGACCAGAGTTCAAATTCAGCCTTTGGTATTTACTAGTTGTGTGACCCTAGGCAAATGGCTTAACCTCTATCTACCTCAGTTTCCTCATCTCTAAAATGGGAATGATAATAATAGCACCTACTTCTCAGGGTTGTTATGATGATAAAGTGAGACAATAGTTAAAAAGCACTACATAAATGGGATAGCTAGGTGGTACGGTGGATAGAGTGTAGGGCCTGGAGTCAGGAAGATTTATCTTCATGAGTTCAAATCTGGCCTCAGATATTAGTTGTGTGAACCTGGGCAAGTCACTCCATTCTGCATCAGTTTTCTCATTTGTAAAATGAGCTGGAGAAGGAAATGACTAACTTTTCCAGTATCTTTGTCAAGAAAATCCCAAATGGGGTCATGAAGAGACAGAACTGAAAGCAATTGAACAGCAATAAAAACTACATAAATGCGTAAGCTATTATCACTCTCCCTTATCATAATTTTTTTCTAGAGTTTTTTTTTTTTTGAACTTTTCTTTTTCCTGACTGGGTTCTGAGCTCCCAATGTCCAGTAACTATGTTGATATTTTTCGTTTTTGTATCATTAGCACCCAGTCATGCCTTGCATATAGTAAGCACTTGACAAATGTTAGTTGAATTGTGTTCCATACTGTGTTGAATTAGAGACTCCTTTGATATCTTATACTCCCACTGTGTTTTTAACATCACTTCCAAGTTTCTGGCTAGAAAATCTATCTGTTCTTTATTCATCTTAACCCTTCTCCATTTCATGTAACCAGAAGAATTGTTTTCTTTTTTGATTTTCTGGGCATATTAAATATGAATAATTTACTCAGTATTTCCTTGTAAAGGTCCATGTCTTCCTTAATCATGAAGAACAGCTTTAAGATGTCAGAATACTTGACTTGCAATTGATTCTTCTAATGTCTATGATATTGCTAGAGGGAAGAATTATGTGTGTGTGTGTGTGTGTGTGTGTGTGTGTGTGTGTGTGTGTTTAAACCAAATCTTTATGTTTAGAGATCACAGTATCATGATGAGCTGGAAGGGATGGGTTAAAATCTTTCAGTCCAAACCTCCTCACTTTCTAGGTAAGGAAACTGAGGCCCAGAAAATTAGTAAGTGAATTGCCCAGAGTCACACTGGTAGTAAATAGCAGGGTTGGGATTCAAATCCAGGAATCTTTTCACTATGGCAAGAACAGAGAAAACAGTGAGGTCCAGAAAATGTGTAGCTCGGAGGAGAAGGGAAACTGACCAAAGTTCTTGGCCTCCTCGGTCCTTTCCTGCTTTTGATTTAGAATCTTAATGTTATTCAAAAAGGGCTGCATTCCTGACAAAGAGCCTGATCCTAACTTTAAAAAATATTGAAATGACTGCATATACCACAATTCACTAAGACTTGATCACCTGTAAGTCATGTCCCTGAGCTCTAAATATATAAAACATTTAAAAGGTAGTCTCATCAATTTAGTTTAATTCATTTATCATGTATTTATTATTTGAATTTAATTCACTTATCATGTATTTAATTTGGGGCAGCTAGGTGGCACAGTGGATAGAATGTCGGGCCTGGAGTAAGGAGGACATGAGTTCAAATATGACCTCATACACTTCCTAGCTGTGTGGCCCTGGGCAAGTCCCTTAATCCTGTTTGCCTCAGTTTTCTCATCTGTCAAATCAACTGGAGAAGGAAATAGCAAACCACTCCAGTATCTTTGATAAGTAAACTCTAAATGGGGTCATGAAGAGTCAGATATGACTGAAACAAGTGAACGATAACATTTTTTATTTAATTATCATTTATTTATGAGATCCTTGGGAGACAGGCTTCCATGTGAGAAATGTAGTGTGAGGCTATTAGGAACCTTAGGGAGAAGTTATGCCTGAAGCCCAGGTGCTGGAGAGACCACTGGGTGGGCGGTCGTGCCTGAGGAAGGAACCAGAGAGGAAGGGAGCTTGGAGCAACATGAAAGCACAGAGAGAGGGTGCTTGAGGCTGGGAGCGGGGAGCCTGGATTCTTCAACTCCAGGGCAGTCAAAAAAATGAACTGGGTGATTCGTCACCAGCTGCCTACTGCAGATGTCATAAGTAATAACGTGAGTGTGGTTGGCAGAGTTGCGGAGTGTGAATTGGATTGCTGGAGGAAGAGCAAAGGGGATTCAAAGACTGTACGGGCTTCTCTTTCTCTTTGGGAAGTTTGGAGGAATATTTCCTTGACCTTTGTGCCTCACGTGGGTGAAACAGACCTTTGAGGAGGCTGACAAGAATGGGGACGGCTTATTGAACATTGAAGAAATCCACCAACTGATGCATAAACTCAATGTGAACCTGCCTCGCAGAAAAGTCCGGCAGATGTTTCAGGTAAGCCATGGCCATAAAGATCAAGGCAAAAGGGAATTGGTGGGGAATTCCACGCAAGGCCCATGTCAGTGTATCCATGGAGATGATGGTGAATGAGTTGCACTCAGGAAGGATCTGGGTTCAAGTCCTGTCTCTGACATGTGTTGGCTGTGTGGCTTTAGACAAATCATTTAACCTCTTGGTGTCTCAAGAGATTTTCTAAGACTGTAAGTTACAGGGGAGTTGCCTATCTGCATTTCTGGAGGGCGTCCATCCCCCCACTAGGAATTCCCCTCACTGATGAAATCACAGGTATGGAATTTTCCCTCTCTCCTGCCCTCACCACCATAACAAATAATAGCAGAGAGATTTACTTTGTTGGAGAAACCTGAACACCTTTCCCTCTTCCTCTCCAGCAATATCACCTGTCACATAATGACTTCCATTTTTTTTTTAAATTGGCAATCCATGGAAGGGAAATTAATACAGTGGCCATGTCTCATTCTAAAATGCCCATTTTTATTCTGACATAATAAGATGTTGCTACTTGAGTCATAGAATCTGAGTTGGAGGAATCTCAGATGCTGTCTAGCTCAACCTATACCTGAATGAGAATCCCAGTCACAGCATACTTGAGAGGTGTTTATCAAACCTTGACTATGAGGGGAAACCTGCCACTTTGCCTTGGCTGCACATCCTGTTTCCGACCAGCTCTAGGAGCTAAGAAGGTCTTCCATCCTAAATCTGCCTCTCTGTGTCATCCACTCAAAGCTGCTAGCTTTGCCCTCCAAGGCCAAGCAGAAGAAACCTAAGCCTCTTCCGAACGACAGTTTTTCAAATACTTAGAGGCCACTACTTTCCATGTTCATTCATTTCACTTTTGGACAAGATTTCACTCACACCTGAAGGTTTTCAAATGTCTCATCAGTCAAGAAAGTAATAGAGCCTCTTGGCCTGGTACAGTCTTAATCAACAAGAGATAGGCTGCCCTGTGTTCTGGCTGCATTTGTGCGCTCTTGCTTGTATGTGGTCTTCATGTGCGAGCTCATATTTGGAGGGAAAGAGCCTTAGTAGAGACATAACCAGCAGACCCAATTTACAGGATTTGCAGAATTTCTTCCTTCCATTTATCAAGGGTACCCATGAATCAAATTCTTTTACAGGCTATTGGGCAAAAAATAACAGTTGTTGGTATTAATAAGTAGCCTCACATAGAGACTTTATGGAGAAGGAAGTCCTCCTCAAAGGGTTTATTTTTTTTATTGCATGATAAGCAAACCTTTTTTTTTTTTTTAAAGCCCAAACACTTTTAGAAATTCCATTTCAGTTGAGGACACTTCACAAAATCCACATTCTTCAAAACCATTTTCTGTATGCTCTGATTCATCTTTGTCCAGTGGGAAGGAGAATGAAGTGTTGTGCCTGGTTCAAATTCATACCAGGGAGGTGGGTGGGAGGGTTGCATAGGGCAATCCATCTGAAGCAGTTGTCGTTCTGGGAGAAAGGGTTTTGGGAGAAAGGGAGAAAGCCCTGTTTGCCTTGTATTCGTTATAGCTTGGACAGTAGTTTACTCAGATCAGAATGCAGAAAGGTCTCTCTTTTAAAAAAATAGTTAATTTATTTTTGGTTTTCAACATTCACTTTTGTAAGATTTTGAGTTCTAAATCCCCCCCCTTCCCCTCCCCAAGATAGCATACAATCTGATACCGTCTATACATGTATGATCATATTAAACATCTCCACATTGGTCATGTTGTGAAAGAAGAATCACAACAAAAGGCAAACCATGAGAAAGAGAAAACAAAAAATGACAAAAAAAAGGGAAAATAGTCTGCTTTGATCTGCATTTAGATTCCATAGTTCTTTGTCTGGATGTGGATAGCATTTTCATTATGAGTCTTTTGAAATTGTCTTAGTTCATTGCATTGCTCAGAAGAGCTAAGTCTAACAAAGTAGGTCATCACACAACATGGCTGTTACTGTGTACAGTTTTCTCCTGGTTCTGTTCACTTCACTCAGCATCAGATCATATAAGTCTTTCCAGGTTTTTCTGAAGTCTGCCTGCTCACCATTTCTTATGGACCAATAGCATTCCATTACATTCATACACTACAACTTGTTCAGTCATTGCCCAATGGATGGGCATCCCCTCAATTTCCAATTCTTAGCCACCACATAAAGAGCTGCTATAAATATTTTTGGGCACATGGGTCCTTTTGCCTTTTTATGATCTCTTTGGGATACAGACTTTTATGGTATTTCTGGATCAAAGAGTTTGCACAGTTTTTTTTATAGCCCTTTGGGCATAGTTCCAAATTGTTCTCCAGAATGGTTGGATCAGTTCACAACTCCACCAACAACACATTAGTGTTCCAATTTTCCCATATTTTCTCTGACATTTATCATTTTCCTATTTTGTCATGTTAGCCAATCTGATAGGTGTGGTGTGATACCTCAGAGTTGTTTTAATTTGCATTTCTCTAATCAATGGTGGTTTAGAGCATTTTTTTTTTCATATGACTATAGGTAGCTTTAATTTCTTCATCTGAAAGCTGCCTGTTCATATGCTTTGACCATTTGTCAGTTGGGGAATAACTTGTATTCTTATAGATTTGGCTGTAAAAATTGTTTCCCAACTTTCTGCTTCCCCTCTAATCTTGGTTGCATTGGCTTTGTTTGTGCAAAAACTGTAATGTGATCAAAATGATCCATTTTGCATTTCATAATGTTCTTTATCTCTTGTTTGGTCATAAATTCTTCCCTCTCTCTCTTAGGACAATGGCTCATCTGTATAGTGAGTTAAGGCTCTCTTATTTTTTGTCTTCCATACAAAACTACTGCTAATCTCGTAATAAATTTTTCTGTTTGAAAAATGAGAGACAAAGAGAAGATCATGACCTCCTCACCAAATGAGGAAACCAATGTGGTTTTCCACAAAGCACTGTGGACAAAGAGGACTCCAACCTTGTTTGTGGGGAGTGAGCGTTAAGATCCCGCAATCATGGGCTGCTAATAAAGGACTCCGCAACTTCCTCCCCATTTCCACCCCCTTCCATTTCAAATCTGTTTGTTGATCATGTTTCTTTCCTTTAGAAGCTGATGAAATAGAGGGGTCTTTTCAACCTTTGCTCCCAGGCTCAGCATGCTCTCTGTGATGTGTTTTGGCTCAGTCCCAACCTCAATCTGTCAAGGCAATCATGCCTCCTTGTGGGTCTGTTTCTCTTTCCCCCTTCCAGGAAGCCGACACTGATGAGAACCAGGGAACTCTGACGTTTGAAGAGTTCTGTGTTTTTTACAAAATGATGTCGCTGAGACGAGACCTCTACTTGCTGCTCTTGAACTACAGTGACAAGAAGGACCACTTAACCGTGGAAGAGCTGGCCCAGTTTCTGAAAGTGGAACAAAAGGTAAGAGCCTATGAGATGGACAAGTCGAGTGAGTTCTCATTTCTGCGTGGGAAAGCTGTTGCTAATGATGACAAAATGTTGCATTGGGAGGACAGTTCAGCTTCCAACATACACACACATGTGCACGTGTTTTATGTTGAAGATACTTAGAAAGATCTGGATTTTTTTTTTTAGTGTACATACTCTCTCTGGATCATAGCCACTCAAAACTTTCATGTGTCTCTCCATCTTCACCTTTATCTCTTTATGGCCTAGCACAGTGCCCAGTTGTTCAAGTACTTTCAGTCATGTCTGACTTTTCATGACCCTATTTAGGATTTTCTTGGCAGAGATATTGGAGAGGTTTGACATTTCCTTCTCCAACTTATTTTACAGAAGAGGAAACTGAGGCAAACAGAGTGAAGTGACTTGCCCAGTGCCTAAGGCCACATTTGAACTCATGAAGATGAGTCTTCCTAATTCCAAGCCTGACATTCTATCCACTGTGTCACCTAGCTGGAACAACGCCAAGAGAAGGCACTTAATAAATGCTTGTTAATTGATTGATTGATGCAATGGCAAAAGCACTGTGAAGAACTGGGCTCAAATTCTACCTCCGAATTGACTCCCTACATGGCCTAGCGCAATTCCTTAGCCTCCCTAGAATTTAGCTTCTTTAGCTCTAAAATGAGGGGTGGATTAGAACAGGCCTTCTTAAATTTTTTCTACTCCTGACCCCTTCAGCGCTTCTTAAACTGTGGGTCGGTTTAAGAAGTACTGGATTAGAGTACTCCCAAAGTCCCTTCTAGCTCCAGATGTGTAACTCTATGGTTTTATGAGTTTTGTGAATTTAAAAAAAACATCCCCACTGGTTGGCCAGTCTTCTGGTGAAGACCTTCCCCGTCCTTTATAAATGGGTCCTTGGATAGTGCAGTCCATCGACATGCCTGTAACTGACATCACTTTTAGCTTGTCAGGGCTTTCCATTCATTAATCCACTTACCCAGCAACATTTACTAATCACCCGTAATGTGCCAGACATTGCACTATGCCGTGGGAATAGAGACAAATATGAAACAATCCTTGCCTTCCAGAAGGGAACAACCCAAACACAGAAGCATAAATACAAATTATAGACCAAGTTGATACAGAGTAGATCTGTGGGGCAGAACTGATAGCTGGTGGTGTGGATCAGGGTGGGCTTCCTGTAGGAGATGGAGCTTGAACTAAGCCTTGAAGGGAGATAGGGTCCCCAAAGGCTGAAGTGAGGAGGGAGTGTATCCCAATTGCTTGAACTGTGTTGGTAAGACTTTGAAAGCTCAGTTGCCTCTCAGATATGATGTGAGGCATGTCATAGTAGAACATTAAGGATATCAGGGACTTCAGAAGCTTCAAGGAAAGGAATGGGAAATTGAATACTGGCCTTAAGACAGTGAGGGCATTTCTATGTGCTGAACATGTAGTGGGATACAGAAAGCACCCTCCCTCTGGAGTCCAAGGACCTTGGTTCAGATCCCACTTGACACTGTTTTTAATTAATATTATGTAGACTGAGTATGACTTTATTAAATTTCCTGGGTACTTTATTAGTGTAATAGAAAAAAAATCTATAAAACAGCGTTCCTAATTTTTTTTAGCTTTTGTGCTTTGTTATGGAATTATGAATTTGGTCAGACAGCGTAAAGACGCTTTTCTTTAGCTAATCTTGGACAAAATCACAATCATTCATTTTGGATTCAAGTTTGATTTATGTGGAACAACTGATAAATTTTCATTAGAAATCTTTCCTCTATCCTGAGTTTCTTTATTTTTTCTCTTTATTCCTTATCTCAGAAGGCTGTGGGTTGTCCTTAGCACAGCCCAAACCTGTTCTAAAATGAAAAATCCCCAGATAGTTGGGGAGTGTGGTATTTGAGCACCTTGGTAGAAATCAGCAATCAGGCTGACTCCTTTCCAATCTCCCCTGCCTGAGACTATCAAACATTTTTTATTACATTTTTAATATAATCTCGTACTTGTTCCTGGTATGAAGGCTAGTCATGAGCAACACGTCAAATGATGAGAGTGTGATTTGGGTGGGGTGAGGGGGTGGTGGCAGATTCTGCCATCCTTATGTTTATCAACAAGAGGAGAATGTATTTTGGAAGGACAGATTTCTTGCATCCCATTTCAAATTCTCATCTCAGTAAAGAAAGCTCGACTGCAGGGGGCACAGCCTTTTTCCCTTTATCTTTTATTTTTTCTTATTGTTATTATGTTCATGCCTATGTGTGTTATGGCCTTCATGCAGAACTAAAAAAAAAGCCATTTGGAACCTTAGAGACCATTAACTCTTATTGGAGATAAGTAGTTTGAAAACCACGGTCCAAAGATGAATTAATTAGACAGCCTTGGTCATTGTCTTTTACAAGGGAAAGTTCTCCTAGCCTGGTGCAGCAGAAATAGCATCAGAATGGGAGTCCAAGGACCTGAGGTTGAGGCTTGCCTCTGCCACCTATAATCTGGTGCATCTGGAATGGTTTTGGCTTTGGGGGATCAATCAATCAACAAGTATTTATTAATGTCTCTAGGTCTCAGTTGCCTCATCTGAAAAATGAAAAGGGTGGATTATGGTGACCTCTATGGTTCCTTTCAGCTCAAAATTCTCTAATCCCATTACAATCAATTAATCAATCGCTAAGTATTTATTAAGCACTTACCATCTGCCAGGCACTTTGTTAGGTGCTGGGGATAAAAATGAAACTCCTCCTGTCATCTGAGGTATACAGTCTTTTAAAATATAGAGTTCTATTTTGTAGTATAATCCTTATCAAGTCTTTAGAGCGTCAGAAGTACCTTCTAAGAATTCATTTTGGAAAATACATCTTTTCATTCCAAGCCAGCTAACTTGACATTTTACCTACTTTCAAAGAACATTGCCACTTGAGGGCTAGCATGGTCCTTAAATTTAGGCAGAGCAGATCTGAATATCTCCAGAATGGGATAATGTATGTCTGGCTGCCACTAGATCTGTCCATGCATGTATGCGGGTGGGTAAATTTTTGGTTTTTGACAAGTTCCTGTTTCACTTTTAAATTTAAGATGACATTCCCCAAAGAAACATTTGATTCCAGGTTAAGAGTACCACACTAAGAGAAATCCCTGAAGGAAAATAAGATATCCAAAGGAAAGGAGCCTTAATATGATTCACCTTCCCCGGGAAGCTGGGCTTTCATGGATGCTGCTCCTCTGGTTTAGCGCATGTACTTTTCAGATCACCGCTGCCGTCAGGGAATTCCTATTTACTTACTGTCTAATATTCCAAAACCACAGGCTTACATTTCACTGCTGCTGGATAGCCTGGTGGGGACAATGATGGTTATACCCGACCAAGGGTCACTGCCCCCTTGTTCTATTTTATTATACTTCAATTCCCAGCATTTTAAGTTGGGAAAAATGTCTTGGCCCCAGTGACTCAGTAGACTTGTGTCATGTAAATATGGACACTGCCTGTGGCAATTTACTTTCAGTATCTGACTCAGTGTTCCAGATTAGCCTGGACTCTCCTTGCCTGGAATCTGAAAAGAATTAAATTGCAAAACATGTTAGCTTTCAAGGAAAACAAGAAGTTCATAAAAATTGAAAATGAGACGGTGCCTTTCCTTCCAATCTCTGATGCTTTCTGCCATTAAACATATCCTTTCTGTGTCAATGATGAGTAAAACATTTTGCTGATTTATGTGCTTAGAGGGACAAGTGCTCTCTGGGTCCAGAGTTGAATTAAGATGAAGAGAGTAGGCTGGATTGTATTTGGGAGTTGGCATAGTGCTTGTAATGTTCCCTTGATAAAAAAAAATAGCCCACCCCTCTAATCCTTCATCTACAATATTCTCCTGGGAATGTTTAATGGCTCTGATTCATGGAGTCTCATGATCTCTAAAGAATCAAAACTGCAGGTGACTCAAAGGGCAGCGGAAAGACACATGGTGGGTGTTAAGTAGGTGGTAGTCTATTACCAATGATGACATATGCAACACATGGCATCAAAGAAGATGGGATAGTGATGTAGAGAGAGCATTGACTTACAGATGCAGTCTGAGGGCTAAAGTGCTACCCATAGAATTTCAGAAGCCCAAGAGAAAGGCATCTAGTAGTTTGGGTGGATCTCTGATGAAGGATTTAGGGGAGGACCCAGACAAGTCTCCCATGGGATAGGAAGATGGGGATGGGTTGTGAGCCTCTACCACTGAAGAGAGTGCCCACTTTGATGAGATTCCAACCCAAATGAGTAGGGACCAATATATATTTAGATCAGTCTGGGCATTCACTTCAGAGGTGCAGATTATAACCCCTTTCCTTGCCTTCTTATCCTGGGCTACCATTGGGCATGCCTCTTTAAATACATACATGCATACATCCATATATGCATATATATATACACACACATGCATCCATTCTGGGCCATCTACTTTATAGAAAGAGCTTCCAGCCTATTAATCAAGACATTTTCTTCCACCTTTTACCTTCTTGACATAGAGAAGACTAATACCCTTCAATTGCTTCAGACCTTTTTTCTCCATTGTTTTTACCTTGAAGGCATCCCCCCCTTTATTTCCTCTCTCAGATAACCTGGAGAGAGGATACTTCTCTCCCCTCAACCTTATTTTTTTTTTTTAGCAGTTGCTTGGTCATGGGAGAAAGGCAAATACACCCTCTCCAAGTCACTGATAAGTACTACTTGCCCTCCATGCTTGCTGGAAGTAAGTTCCCCAGTCCTCTGTCCCTTTTGTTAGTAGCTCTTATGGTAGGTAAAAATAGTTTGGAAAACAACTCATTTCCCAAGCCTCTTTGCCTGGCGTGGGGACCATTCTCTGGGTGAATCATATCTGTACTGATGTGCTGTATCCTGGGCATGTATATGCTTTTGTGGGCAATGTGCATTTTTCATCCATTCTAATTTTCCAGTATGGATGGTTACTCTGTTGAATTGCTATGAATTTCACTTTAGAGGCATTATAACGCTGATCTATATGTGTGTGTAT